AGATAGATAGATAGATAGATAGATACAGACTCTTCAAGAGTTGTTTTTTTTTTTTTTTTTTTAAGGCTCCTCCAGTAGAATTAGGAAAAACACATTTTTATTATACAGAACGGTTTATGTTCTGTAGAATAAATGAAAAATTAAATAACACCGGTATTATCTTGTGGGCCTGTAGGTGTAAAAATAGATAGTCTTCTGACTCGTTCTCCTTTCAGCTCAATAACATTATCAAATGTGATATCACACTTTTCACTGCTGGATTTCTGCAGAACCTCCACACCTGAAGACGTTTTCCTCTCCCTCTAAGATCCAGCTATTTTCAGTAGGACCAAACATGAGTCCATTGTTTGTTCCTTAATGTCCTGTAAAAATATGCATTCATTCTTCTGAGTCGTTCTCCTTTTAGCCCAATAGAATTATAAAATGTGATATCACACTTTTCACTGCTGTATTTCTGCAGAACCTACACACCTAAAGACGTTTTCCTCTCCCTCTAAAATCCAGAGTCCCTTGTTTGTTCCTTAACGTCCTGTAAAAATATGCATTCAGTCTTCTGACTCGTTCTCCCTTTAGCTCAATAAGATTATCACACTTTTCACTGCTGGATTTCTACAGAACCTCCCCACCTAAACCCGTTTTCTTCTCGGTGTATTTGCAGGTAGTCCGTGACGCCCAGTCTGGCGTTGAGGACGTGTCCGTGTCTTTTAAGCGTCTGTCGGCCTGCAGTACGGGGAGCACCCACTCCTCCTCCTCCTGCTCCCTGGACCTGGTCCCTGTTCGGGACCCATCCGCCCCCCAGCCCCCCCTGGCCCCCCCCCTGGCCCTGGACCTGGACCTGGACCAGGCCATGGAGCTCCTCTCGCGGCTGACCCAGGCGGTGGAGTCGGGCGTGGCCCAGATGATGTCGCTGGTCTCGGGGAACTGGCGCGGCGCCGGGCGGCTGGAGGCCGTGCTGCCCGCCATGCGGGCGGCGAGCGAGCGGGCGCGCGGCGCCGTGCGCGACTTCCTGGACTTCGCCCGCGACGCCGCCGCCAACGCCGGCCGCGCCCCCGACCGCTCGCTGCAGGCCAAGCTCAGCCGGCAGGTTTCCAAGATGGAGGACGGGTTTCGGGGCCTGGTCAGGCACGGCCAGGCGCTGGACGCCGCCGCGTGGTCGCACGTCGCCACGGCAACCACGGCGACCCCCACGCCGGGCGGCGACGACCTGGACCGGCTCATCATGGCGGCGAGGGGCATCCCCGACGACGCCAAGCAGCTGGCCTCGTTTCTCCACGGCAACGCCTCGCTGCTGTTCAGAAGGACCAACCGGACGGGGGCGGGGGAGGGCAGTGGGGGGAGTGGGGGGGTGCGGAGGGGGCCGGCTGTAGAAGGTGCACATCCAGTCCAGGCCCCTCCCCTCGCCCCCAAAGTTCACGGCGGCGGAGGAGGAGGAGGAGCGGGGGGGCGGGGAGCGGCCCTACGACAGCACCGAGGAGGGATGGATGGAGGACTACGACTACGTGCATCTGCAGGTAGGAACCATTATCTGATA